TCCCCCTTCTCCGCCTCTCCGTAGCCATTTTGGCTCAAGCGGTTGCATGGTCTCGCCCGCTCGCGCCCCCTTCTCGGCGAGGCGCTGCTGCGGGATGGCGGGGCCTAGAGGGGCTCTCTCTGCTGCCGACGCGGCCCTCCTGGTGGAGGCCGCGGTGAGGGCAGCCGTGGGAAAGGGCGCCCCCCGACGCACGGCGGCGGCCATCGCCCGCTCCGCCATCTCTTCTGCGCTCTTCGCGCTGGCGCCGAGGCGGGGTGCGGCGGACGCCGAGGCGGAGGGCGAGGCGCCCGAGCACGACTGGGACCCTGGCGGAGCTCGTGGAGCTGAGCGCCAGGTCCGAGGAGACGATCGTGGACGCAGAGCTGGTGCCGGCTTGGCGGCCAAAGCTGCGCGGCGCAGGCGTCGCCGCCAGCGGCTGGCTGAGGCGCGCAGGGCCACGGCTGGGGAAGCTGCTGGAGCCGCTTGTGCTGCCGCAGGTGGTGGCCCCGCGGCCGCCCCCGCGGCCGCCGTGGCGGCCGAGGCTGTCGACCTGGCCATGGACCTGGACGGCTTCGACACGCTCGACGACTCCTGGGCTGACGCGCTCAGCCGCCCTTCGGCGCGGGGGCAGCCAGCGCGGCCGGCCCAGGGGCCCGGAGGCGGCGGCGGAGCAGGCTGAGGCGCCCGTGGCGCCTGCGGCTGGCGGAGCGGCGGCCGCCTCGACGCCTGGACCCTCGCAGGCGGTGGCGGCGCGGCCTTCGGCCGCCGTCGGGACGGCGGCCTCCTGGCCCTTCCTCGGCGGGTCCGTGGAGGAGCACGAGGCGCGGTCCGCCCTGAGGAAGCGCGCGGCGGCGATCGTCTCGATCGGCCGCTGACCCGCTCGTCCTGTTCCTGGAGTTCCTCTTCCTGGAGCTGGGCGGGGACGGGGGTGCTCGCGGCACCCCCGTTGTATAGTTCCGCGTAGGCTTAGGCTCGTCGCGGAGTTCGGCGTGTTCCACAGTGGCGGTTCTCTCCTGAGGCCTGCAGGGCCGCCAGGGCTCGTATCCTGTGGCAGCGGAGTGTTGAGCTCAAACAACCCTTCTCCACCTCCTTTCCTCTTCCTCGGCTCAGTCCTCCTGTCCTCGCCCTGCGGCCACGTCGGCGCAATGCTTCGCTCCCTCCTCTGGGAGGGTTGGCTGTCGGCCAACGCCACGGCTTTCGGGTTGGCGAGCGCAATCTCCATCCTGGAGACGTCGCCCAAGCAGGTCGCGCGGCTGTACCAGCGCGACGTGCTCACGTGTATGGAGCGTCGTGCCGACGAGTCCATTCAGAGGCGCGAGGACCTCGGCGACGACTTCGAGGGCATCTGGTAGGAGGCCGTCCAGGCCTGCCTCAGAAGCCCGTTCTTCACCGCCCTGGAGCGCCACATGGTTGTCTCGCTCCTCGGCGGCACGTACGTGACGGGCGAGCCGGCGCGGGCCTGGGGATACCTCGTGAGCGCGCAGTGCGCTGTCTGCCCCGTGCCCGACACCGTCCGCCACCGCTTCTCGTGCTGCCCGCGCTTCGCGGCAGGCCGCTCCGTGGAAGATTCGGGGTGGCAGGACGGGCTCGAGGCCTGTCGAGCCGTGCTGTTGGCGACCCTTTGCTGCAGGACTCTTTCCTGCCCTCGGACTCACGGCGGCTCCCAACGCCGCCGCGGGGCTGCATGCAAGCGTTCGGGGGCATCAGGAAGTGCCCGCCAGAAATTTCGCCCTCTCGCCGTTTGTGCCGTCGCTGGCGACGGGTCCGCCCGCACTTCCTCTTTGACCTCCCTCAGGCGGGCGGGCTGGGGAGTCATCCAATGGGGCTCCGTTCTGGGCGTCTTTCGCATGATCGTTGGCTCGATCTCTGCTGGGATGCCGCAGTCAGCAGTCTGCGTCGAGCACCAGTGCTTTTCCACGGATAAGCGGCGACCTGCGGAATGGCCGTGGACCCCCCGGCTCAAACAGCCTTCATCCTGGAGACACGCACTCTGGAATCGGGACACCACCGACCCTTGATCAGAAAACCAAATTTTCGAACGACAAGGCTCGCTAGGGAAGGGAAGTCTCCTGCTCCTCCTTATCCTCTTCCTCCTCCCCTCCCTCCTCGTCCTCCTCCATTCCTCCTCTCCTCCTCCTCGTCCTCCGCTTCTTCTTCTTCTTCTTCTTTTTCTTCTTCTTCTTCTTCTTCTTCTTCTTCTTCTTCTTCTTCTTCTTCCTCCTCCTCCTCCTCCTCCTCCTCCTCCTCCTCCTACACCTCCTCCTCCTCCTCCTCCTCCTCCTACACCTCCTCCTCCTCCTCCTCCTCCTCCCCTCTCCTGGCACAGAACGCTGCGCAACTCAGGCACCAGTACTCGGTGCGTGCGCAGGCTCGGAGCGCTCCAAGCTCACCGGGCAGGTTTCTTTTTCTCTGCCGCAGATGGTCGGCCTGAATGTCAGAGGCCAGTTTTGCCCTTGCCAGGCCTGTGGCAAGCAGATCTCTGAGTGTTGGGGCCACATATTGTATGACTGCCCTCCGCTTGTCGAATGGGGCCCAGAAGAGGATTGCAATGCGTCACCCGACCAACTCGTTTTTGTGCGGGATCTGTTGTACCAGGCGGGGGTAGGTGTTGGCCAGGTGTTTAGAGATCAGACATACTTGGCTTACGGGGTCCCAGAGGTTCCCATTGGAGTTCCTGAAGGACGGTGCATCTCTTCTGATGTGCTGGAATGGGGTGATGTGTCAGGCCCATAGGGGGCTAACATCGTCTACGGACGGTTCGGGTTTCACCTCGTGTGCGCCAGGGACTAGAAGGCATGGCTGGTCTGTCTGCCATCTAGACCGCGACATGCTCCTTCCAAGAGAGCGGCCTATGGACCGCTCCCGTATGCGGTTCAGGCTGTCGGCCGTGCTGAACGATATTATGTGAATACTCCAGATTTCGTAATAAAGGGAGGGGGGTCTCATTTCGGGGGGGGTCTCTTCCAGGCCATCTTGGAGGGCCTGGGGGGGTCTGGGGACGACGTTTTGGAGGGTTCTCCCACGGGGGGGGGGTCTGAAGTGGCTTGTCTTGAAGGGGCCAGACCCCCTCCCTTTTATTACGAGATCTGGAGTATGTGAGTATGGGTCTGCCTCGTCACCCTGCCCACGAGGAGCTCGCCGCGGATCCACGGCCTCCCATGCAAGGTCTTCTGCAGGGTCTCCCGTGTGGTCTCCCGCACGGTCTCCCGCACGGCCTCCTTCTCCTCCTGCTCGTCCTGCGTCTCCTCCTTTCTCCTCCTTCCTCCTCCTCCCTCGTCCCTCCTCCCCCCCCTCCTCCTCCTCCTCCTCCTCCTCCTCCTCCTCCTCCTCCTCCTCCTCCTCCTGGCCTTCCCGTAACGGAAGCGAAAAAGCGAGAAGGCACGCACCATTGGTTTTCCATCGATGTTGGCTCCTTTGGGTGTCCCCTTGAGGAGCTGCGTGGGGCCACTCGGGGCCTTCTCGGGGCTGCCTTGGGGCCTCTTGGATGCATAGTGGGGCAATCTTGGGACGTCTTGAGTCATCTTGGAGGCCATCTTGCGCTCTCTGAGGCCATCCTGGAGCCATGTTGGCCTAAAAGACTCCCAAGGATGCCCCCCGCGATGCTGAACTATTAGGACCACTGTTCTGTGACCCTACCGCTGTGGTTGGAGGGGACGGCTTGGGAGGAATGAGTATTCGCGGAGAAGAACCTACGCTGCAGGGTCAAGCCACGCGGCCCCTCCCCTACGGAAGCCGTGACCCTGCGGACCCCCGCTGACAGACAGCACGGCCGGCCTGCTGCACCGGCTGCAAGGGAAGGACGGGGTCCGTAGCTTTATGGGCCCGAAGACTGGCTCAAATCGAGGCCGTGCAAGAACGGGGAGGGGGACCGCGATGTGACCCACCAGCCAATATGCTAAAGGGGGATCACGATGCGACCAGGCAGCGCGGGGGATCACAATGTGACCCTGTGGCCAAGCGGCATACCGTGGGATCGCGATGAGACCCAACAGCCAGACTGCAAAAGGGGGATGCGATGCGACCCTAACCCACAAGGCAGCGCGGAGAATCGCAATGGGACCCTGTAGCAAAAATGGCACACCTTGGGATCGCGGCGCGATCCATCAGCCACAAAGGCCACGCGGGGATCGCGATGCGATCCTTGACCGCTCCCAAACGTATCCACACTTCCAGGACCACGATGTGGCCCAGCCCGCCATGGGACTGGCATGTGGCCCAACTGGTGTGGAGCAGTGGGACCACAATGTGGCCGACCCCGCTCACAGGAGTAAAGTTGGGACGAAGTGAGAGGGCTCTAGCTGGGGACCTGCCCTCGCCCTTCGTCCCTAGCAGCGGCATCGGCAGATCAATCTATCACCGTTTGCCCTTGTATAAAAACAGAGGGGGCCAGATCGTCCCGAAGTCGTGTTTCCTGCGTAAATGCCAGCGTAAGAGAGCATGGGAACTGGGTAAGGTCAGGCCGCACGGCCCTCGCAAGGTTCGCGACCCTGCCGCTATGGTTGCAGAGGACGGCTTGGGAGGGATGAGCCTTCGAGAGGCCAGAGGGGAACCGCCTCGAAGAGAACCTCCGCTGCCAGACAGCAGGGGCCTCGGGTCCCTGCGTGCACAACCGCGTAAAAACGTGTGAGAAACCGCTTCGGGTCAAGCCATGCGGCCCCTCACCCACAGAAGCCGTGACCCTATGGACCCCCTCGCTGACAGACAGTACGGCCGGCCGGCTGCACAGGCTGCAAGGGAAGGACCGTAGCCGTATGAGCTCGAGCACTGGCTCAAATCGAGCCTCGAGCAAGCGCATCGGCTTTGCTTGCCCTTCGCCGCTCACAACACCGC